ATAGAATAAAATACAAAAACAAATAGGAAGATACAGTGGGGCGGATGGGGAAAAAAAAGTGAGGGGGGACGAGGAAAAGGGGAAAAAAAGGCATTGACTTCCGACTCCCTCTGTTGCAGTAAAATAAAGCATTAACATAACTTTTTATTTTTCCATGTGTGCGCGCACGCGTGTACACACACACACACACACACACACACACACACATTCTTCTCTAGATCAAGGTGCTTATTTGCAAATGCAAGATGCCTTACTTAAGCTTATCAATTGGCAGATGACCATACGCTTACCAGTATGAATAAGGATATGTCTCTTGAGGTGGTAGCTGCTCCGGAATGCTCCAAAACAGTGTTCGCAAATGAAGTTCTTGGGAATCCGGACCTGGAAGGATCCATTCTGCTCGATCACCATTACCTGCAAGCACACATAGAACAGCTTCTCAACAAAAAGGCGACATGTCTATCTAGGCGTATGTTCCAACTTGCTGGTCTGTCAGGAGGTTTAGCGAAGACATTTGTCAGTGCTTATATAGTACCACAGCCTCCTCTATAGACCAGGGGTCCCCGATCTCTGGGATGTGGATTGGCACTGGCCCACAGCATGCCAGAAACTGGGCCGTGCAAACAAGCGAAGCCCCATCCGTGGGGTGCAGGCAGCATGCAAAACCACACCCCTTCCTGTCCGTGGAAAAAACTTTCTCCACGGAACCGGTCCTTGGTGTCCAAAAGGTTGAGGGCTGCTACTATAGACTGTCCACTCTCCCTGTTTCAAGCCACTGCAGAATGAATTTCATAACACAATGGAAGAAAACAAAGCATCTCTCATGTATGTAACTATTTTGAATTCCTACACTTGATACAGGTTACCTCTTTAGCTTTGTTTGGTGTAAAACAGATTGCCTGGATTTTTTTTTTAATTACACAGATTCATTAATATCTCCTGCTGTTAAAAATGCAAAAATATCCGATATTTGACCCCTAGTGGAAATAGGTTGGTCTTGGACAGAAACGGGGTGGATATTTGCCCACTTCCACTTAATCTCATTTAGCTTAATATGCGATAGGCATATGCAAAGCAATCTGTTTATCCTCTGCATTTGAGAACTGTAGAGTTGGCTGTGAGTTCCCAGGCCAGGAAGCTATTTTTTTTCTTGGAGCATTACAATCTTCCAAGGAAGAAGGAAGTGTTATCTTCCTATTCAGGAGATACACTTCCAGAAATGCCCAAACCCCTGTGGCCTGTTTTGGATAAAATAGCAACATTCTGGAGAGGAACTGCTACTATTAATATGGAGCTTCCAGCAAATATCTACTCGGCCACCCAACAATTAATTTCACTGTCTTGGGTATTATAGGGCAATTCCACAGAAAGAAATCCACCTTTCCCTTGAGGGTTGGTCATCTGTCTCAGGGCGCCTGAATATGTTAACAGCAGATGGGCAGTTGTAAAAGAAAACAGAAATCTTGGGAAGATAAGTAATCTGACAGCATTAACTCCAGCTAAATATGTAAAATGTACTTTGCCCCAATTCTTTTAATCTCATTTACTTTAGCTGAATAGTATTTTCTTCCAATTCTTATGGTTTACCACCAGATATTATCTACTGAGCTCAGAGTACAACTCCACAAGTGGGTTTTTTTTTTTAATTTCATAGAAGGAATGTTTATTTTAAAAGGTCGCATAATGATTGCTAAATTCCTATTCTTCGTTTGAATTATCCCAGTGCAAAAGATGCTGGATGCAGCAACAGAGTCTATGAGCATTGTAATTCGGCCATAAGAATTAAAAGTAAATTTGGAGGCGCTAACCATATTACATCCCCACAAGCCATAGGATGATATGCATTATGGAGTAGACGCTAAGTGAGGGAGAAAAACCTCATGGTCAAGCATCTGACAGCTTGTCTGACCAAGCCTAACTTCCAGCGTTCCAGATTTATTAAATGGCAAATCTTATTGGCTACCCTGGCTAGGGATAATGATCATAACAGGCTGACCTGTTTGGAAAAGAGAATGATGTTTGACAAAGATGTCGCACAAGCCTGAACAATAAAGTTCTCCTATTTCGTATTCTTCAGAAACACATGAAGAACTATTTAAAACAATCAAGCTGGTGGTGAAGTTAACTATTAGATTTATTTTATTTATTTATTTGTAAAATTTATTGGCCACCCATCTTACCTCAGGATAACTCTGGATGGCTTACAATCTTTAAAAAAAAAACTGTACAAAGATAAAAGTTTGTGCTAGAAAGGGATGCATTCCCACGCATCCCATGCATTCCTGGGCTTACTCATAACATGCTGTAGCAATGGTTGTGGTTCTGTTTATCCTCTACTTGTGCAAATAGCTGCATCTTTTGATTTGCCGATTTGGAAAGCCTAAATCACTCCCAGCCAGCATCTGGCTAGGAGTCCATCTAAGATTATCCTACGAAGTGTGCAGAAACCCTAGAACAGGGCTGTCGTAACTCCCGGCCTGTGGGCTGGATACGTCACGCTCTGGCCACGCCCACACCCAATTTAGCGAAGGGGGAGAAATCCCGATATGTCATGTGACACGCTGCGATGACACAAGTCTTGACACCCCTGCCCTAGAAGTTTAAAGGGTAGTGGCCAAAATGGTTTTAAATAGTCAACTTCTTGGAACATATTATAGTTTCCCCCAGGGGAAAGTGCTTTCCTCCCCCCTTTGGGGAGCGCACGCATTCGCGTCAAACACACACTGCACATGCATGTGCACTACCGGCTCCTGCAAACATTTACCTTCTTCAGCTGACGAGAGGCACTCAGCTGTGCCACGCAAAGCAGCTGAGGAGGAAAATGCAGACACTAAAGGACAGCCTAGAGCCTGGGTGGGCGGGAGGGTTAAATAGCAAACCAAAACGTCAGCTGCTGTTCAGAACTACCGGTTCTATAGAACCGGACCAAACCGGTAGGATCCCATCCCTGGTTTCCCCACATCTGCACTGGCTTTTATCGATTTCCAAAGCACAAAGTACCAGTTACTAATTATAAAGCTCTCAATGGCTTTGCACCAGATCATTTGGAGGAACCTGTCCATCTGCATGAAGCTGCTCAAGCACTGTCGCCAGTCCTTGAAGCCCTGCTCCAAATTTCACCAGGCCAGGCCCAAAAGTTTCCTTGTTGTGGATATGAGGAGAGGCCTTGCTAGTGGTGGCAGCCCTGCCTGGGAATACCTTACTAAGAACAGTCCCGCCTGCCCCTTCTGTTGAAGGTTGGCACTTGCTTTTTCTTTCTTCATGCTTTTAACACTTTTCAGTTACCCGCTTTGCTCCTGATTTTTAAACTGAAGCACTTGCTTTCAGCCCTTCTCTTGTAACTCTTTCTAAAACTGAACTGTACAGTCTACTTTTTCATTATTGTTGTTTCAAATATTTAAACTGGAAGCTACTTCAGGTTTAAAAACTAGGTAGAAATTTCTTGAAAACAAACCACAGCCCTGCTCAACAATATGGAGGTGGGTGGGAGAACCCATTTCCAGCCAATAAGCCTCTGTTTAGTTTTGTTTTTTTTTAAAAAAAAATTATTTGGGTTTTCACAAAAAAAAAACCATATAAAACATCTTTTTTTGAAAATAGCATGGTCCCGGGTTATACTTCTTCATACAGACACAAACTCAATTTCATGCTCACTTTTATGTTCTATTCCATTATTATTACTGTTTTACATTTTCTACAGTTTTTCTCCTCTCTTAATTTTCTCAATTTTATTTTAATTATCTCATATCAATTCAAATCATTATATTTTTACTTTTGTCTGTCCTGTTTCAACTTCATATGCACGGTTTCGATCCGTGCCCGCTGCTGGAGCGCCCCGAGCCGGCTGGTTTGGGGGCTAAGCCACCCCGAAGAGGTGAAGAGGGGGTAGACTGCCAGCAGGGTTGAGGAGAGCCACATCTCTCCTCCTCAGCTGGCCATTACTCCCTTTCCGGAAGGCGGTTGCAGCGGTGGTCAGAAATGGCCACCTCAAAGAAGAACTCAACCGGAAAAGAATGTGCAGGAGGAAGATAAGAAGAGAAAGTTTTAGTTGACCGGGTTAAACTGCAAAAGCAACAATGCAAGGTACCCTGGAATTTAAACAATTTTAAAAAAATAACATTCTTCCCAAAGATTTTGAAGCAGCGAAAGAGAGAGGGAAGGGAAAGGATTTGGTTTGGTTGTTTTTTCACTTCCCTTCCATATACTGACAGCTAAGAGACTTAAGCAAAAAAAAAAAAAAATCCACTTTGACATCAATAGGCATTTAAGCTGAAAATAAAATGTCAAAGGGATAATAAAGATTTCTGGACGCTTAAAACCTTTTAAAAGCAGGAAAGGAGAGAAAAAGAATAAAAGGGCAGGATCTGGAAAAAAGGGAGGAGACTGCCTGGAATTAAAAGGAATTTACAGTAAAACCTCAACAAGACTTCTAAAAGATACATTTTGACAGCTTCTGAGAGCCGGACAGGCATTCTGTGGAGAGCTTGGTCTTTACTAGGCCATATAATGAAAGATTACCTGCCTTTTTAAGGGATTTTTTAGGAGGAGACCCTTCTGCTGTCTCTTCTTCCTTCCGACTACGTGATTTCTCGCTCTCCTTGCGATGACCCTGACAGACAAGAAAGGAGGAGACTGGCTACAACGGCTTAAAAGTTTAAATCTGGCAATTTGCAAGCCAAGCCTCCCCTTGCCCCAATCCTGTTTCCTCTGCTCCGTCATCCAACATGTCTGGAACAGAGGACGATGAAGCACATGTGCAGCATCAGACAGCTGAAAACAGGCTGGCTCTTACCAGCATGTCCGACGCACCCCCTCTCTCCCCGTTCTCCACCTGCTTAGAGCTTTGTTTCGGCATCATCTTCTTGCTGGCAACTGTTGGCACCAGGCAAACACCAGAGAGTCCCTCACAGGCCAGGAGGCTCGCCTGCAGAGGAAAAAAAACAAAAACAAATCACAATGACGCCAACCAATACAGCCAAGCTAATTCCAAACCAAGTAGTTCTCCCTATTACGATCGCAGCTGTGGTGTTTTAAGGGGTGGGCTACAATCTGACGTATGGCCATACTTGCTGCAGGTTGTGGAAGTTTACCCACTAAAGGCTGGCGAATGTCATTAAGGTCTGATGAGAAAGAAGACTCTCATCAGGTCAGTTTAGGGAAGTTTCCTTGAAAGAACCACCTGAACCAACTTTGGATCCAAACCCCAAAAGATGCATGAGAGATGAGGTAGGCTCACTGTACTTGCTGGCATTTTCTTTTAAAAGCTGCATATTTCCTGGAGCCACGCAAAAGCCATGTGAATAAATACAGGTAAATACAGATAGCCCTCAACTTACAACAGTTCGCTTAGTGACTGTTTGAAGTTACGACGGCACTGAGGGACTCATGACCGTTTTTTCACACATGACTATTGCAGCATCTCCATGGTCACGTGATTTACCTTCTGATGCTTGACAACTGACTCGTATTTATGACGGCTGCAGGGTCCCGGAGTCATGTGATTCCCCTATTGCGACCTTCTGACAAGCAAACTCAATGGGGAAACCAGATTCACTTAATTAATTCACTTATGTATCAACCATGTTATTACTAATTTAACAACTGCAGTGATTCACTTAACAAATGTAGCAAGGAAAGTTGTGAAATGGGGCAAAACTCAACAAATTTCTCGTTTAGCCACATAAATGTTGGGCTCCATCGTGATCCTAAGTTGAGGGCTAGCTGTACGCATATGAGTTGAGGAAGTGCTGATAGGGTGTCACAGGTTTATCTTACCTCCTCCCCACTCCCATCCTCAGCTTAAATGTGTGTTCTCTGGGAAAGCAAGGTAACTGTGCACATCAAGAAACAGCCATGGCTTCTTTAAGGAAGTGCCAACACATACAACCATCACGATGCCAATGCCACCTCCGATGCACACTTCCCCTTTGGGTTTGAACAGCTGAATAACTCAAACTTCTTCATTCTGTATCTTGGAAATCATTTCACATCTCCCAGAATCGAAGTTGTTCAGCTTTCTTTGTACATCTATCCATTAAAACAAGGAAAAAGGGCTGGCTTTTCTGAACATCTTTCCTTCCTTATCTGGGGCAAGTTTTATCCCCTGTGCACAACAAGTTACTGCTTATTATCTGTGCCAGCAGGGTCACGAAGACAAGACAGAATTCTATATATACGTATGCAGGCATGAAAGTTATTTCCATTTGCCATCTAGATCATAAAAGTGTGCTTGATTCATTTAGTTATCCTAAGCTTTTTTAAATCCACAGCTATTGGTCCAACTTCCCCGAGGCAAAGCATTTCCATCAATTCTTCTCCAAAGAATTAAGAGACGACACAGGCAGCCTTGGCTTCTAATGTTTTGTTCATATTTAAAGATAGATGTTGAGAAACAGCCATAAAACAGCAGAAATCCTGCAGTTTGGTAATGTCAGGAGATTATTTCTTTCAGGGCCTCACTCTGAGGTCATTAACACAAAGTCAGTCATGTTGATTGGCAAGAAGGCAGAAGATGTCCATTAAGTGAAAGATGAAGGGAGACAGGAGAGGGAGAATGCCAACCCCAAGGGCATATCCCATTGTCTCCCAACACCTTAAACGAGGCACAAGTCAAGCTGACAACTTTCAACACCAAAAGTGGTAGCTGGATCTGCAGCCCAGGGGCTGCATGGGCACAGATGTACAGCATGGCAGCAATTTGGACACATGCCAGACTCTGGCATCTTAGTCACAGACGTTCACAATTATTGAAAGAGAATTACAATACTTCAGAGAAGAGCTAAGTCAGCCATGAAGGGAAGGAAAAAAAACTATGAAGAATTGGGAGCTGGGTTTGGCTGGGGCCTCATCAGCCTCAGTGGCAGTGAAACAGGCCACCTCCTCTCTCTGGGAACGGTGAAACAAGCAGAAGTGGGATTAGTAAAGCCCTAATTGCCCTCGACTCAGAACCTATAGTCAGTGGGGATTCTGCTTGCATTCTTCTTGTTGAAGAAAAAGAAGCGCTGCCAACCAACAGTGGCAAAATTCAGCCAGCTTCTGTGAATGAAGCCCACCAGTTAAGAGCTTAAAAAGCTCCCCTTCTCTTAGAAGCTGATCTAGGCATCCCATGTGAAGGGGTCTGGAACCAAGGATACCTGAGTTTAAGCCTCCACCAGACAGCTCTCCCAAGTTGATTTGACTATATTATTAACTCTCCCTCTGTCCCTCCTTGCACACTTGCTATTGTGAGGGCGGGGGGGAGAGAGACGATATGGCCACATGAGCTATTTCAATCTCTCCAAGGATCCTTAGGAAAGAAAGGCAGTAACACATGGATCTCATGCCTATAAATGCTACTGCTGGAGCTGCTCCTTTAGTTTCCCCACAGTGTACCTGGCATACTGATGGGGCAAGGAGCTCTGGAATGACACTCTTCGTGATTTTCGAAAAGTGGCTTAAAAGGCTAATGCAGGAGTAGTGATGGCTGCTAATGGAAAATCAGGGCAGAAGAACATTTCCCTAAGACTGTAAGATCCCAAGACATATTGATAGTTGGACTGAGGAAGCAAAGAGAACAGGAAATCCGTGAATAATAAAATGTTACATAAAAAGAAATATAGCAGTAAATGCTGGATTAGACTCCAATGCTTTAAGATCAAACAAAGATGCAGTTTGATGTATTGGAGGAAACAGAGTCCGATTTCCTATGGCTGGAGTGTACTTCCAACCCACCCCCAAGTGGATTGCAAAGGAATTATGGCAGATGACATAATCTGGGTGGCCAAACTGAATTTCTGGGATGGCTTGTTCGGGTTAGTCTGAAGATGATAAAGAGACCCCAAAAAGTATGCATAAAGTTTTATGTATGTTTTACACATTTACTTTGTCCCCCTTTTGTTTTTGTAAACCCCACTGTGAAAAATAGTGCTACCTAGAAACTTTGATACTACAGTCGAATATTGCTGATGAAACGTGAAGCTGGAAAATGGGGGTTGGGGCAGTAGAAGTGCTCTGACGTTCTTCATCCCTCTCCCATCTGCCCCTATTCCAGCATACATGGAAGCCACTAGGCTTGGAGCGAAAGACGAGAAAAATACGAAAACATTTCCGGATAAAACTGGAACTGGCTGTAAGAGAAAGCAAACACATTCTCTACACATGGCTGTGAGAAGAGGGCCAGAACAGCTTGGTAACCCCCAGAACTTTGACCAGGAGGGGGGGCCCAACACGCCAAGCTCTGCAGTGCTGACTCTTACAGCAGAACATCAAGAGCTGAACAGTTTACGTGACAACAGAATGGATTATCACAGATGGCTCTTAGCAGCCACTTCCTCAATGATGGATTCCTGTGGGACAGGATGGGAGAACCGGGGCCTGTTACCTGAGCCATCGCGTTAGTCTGACAGTCCTCAATACGGAGATTACGCCAAGTCCTTACGTTTTCTTTCTCTCTTGCCCAGGAAAGAATTTTACGACTACAAAGATTTTTCAGTAAATCGTTTCTGCGCCGGTCCCGTCCAATACCTTCCACTTTGTTGACATCTTTCTGGAGTCGGAGAGTCCAGAATGGCGTGCAGCAAGTTTTCCCAGCCTTGTTAAAAGCTGAGGAAAATTACAGACTCTGCTGTTCTTGCAGATGAGTCACCCCAAACCTAAATCCCCCTGCAGGATGGCCCTTGCTGGAGAAAGGGTGCTGAGGTCTTCCTTGCAAAGTGGCCACACTATTGCTGTATGTCCATCTCCAGTTTCCACCTGTGGGTTAAGGAAATATATATACACATATATTTAAAAAGAGAAAGTGAGGACAGTGTTTTTTAAAATTGTAATTACACACCAGACAGTTTTACTGCAATGGCAAAAGATATCAGTATCTCTAGACTACTAAAGTATTCTGCTTATTACTAAGTTTCCATCTCTATATGATTTCTGCAAGCTCTTGCATTAAATTCTGAACTGCTGTTTCTGTACATCATCTTGATGATCTGTATCCTTCTGTACTAAAATATCATAATGCAACATTAATATAATAATTTTCTGTTTGTTTTCTTTAAAAAAACACTCAGTAGGAAATATAAGGACCATGTAGAAATCACAATGCTTTGTAAAGTCCATCTATGCAAAATCAGAGATATACTTCACTGCCGTTAAACAACTAGCCATACTCATGCAATGAAGGTAATTTCTCACTAGACATGCAGTGGATATCTGAATCAGTTTTTGACATTAAAATATTAGTAGCTCAAATAGAGAATGTCAAAACTTTACAAAGTTAACCTAGTCTCCACACATAAGCATTCTGTTTAATTATTAATGTAATATTTATGGTCTTTATTATGAATGTATCTTGACTACTATAGTTCAATAAAAAATGTTTAAAACTCAAAACCAATATTTTTAACTCTACACAAACAGCCTTAAATTTAACATTACTGACCGAATGAAGCACATAGTGCCTTTTAGCAAAACCAATGTGATTATGTAAATAAGCATCACAAAACACATGCACCACTAGTCATTATTTTGACCAAATTGGATACCCTCCAATTATGGAAATTTCCCCAAATTTTCATAACCATTCTGAGTTGGGAATTCTGGGAGTTGAAGTTTACACATGTGAAAGGCACCAGAGTTAGGAAATACTAATTAATCTATAGTGCCGCACTGAAGAAACCAAATATGTTACAATGCACCAAAGAGTAAACTGGCACACCGAGAAGAAAACCAGAAATGCAGAAAAAATGAAGAACATTAGTACAGGTAGTCCTTTGACTTGTAACAGTTTATTTAGTGACCGTTCAGTTACAACAGCACTGAGAAAAGGGACATGACTGTTTTTCACACTTATGACTGTTGCAGCATCCCCATGGTCATGTGATTAAAATTCTGATGCTTGGCAATTCATTCATATTTATGACGGTTGCTACGTTCTAGTGTTGTGTGAATATTTATAAAGTTTGCAGTATCCTGGGGTTGTGTGAACAGTTCTGACAAGCAAAGTCAATGGGGAAGCCAGATTCACTTAACAATCGTGTTACTAAACTTGACAACTGCAATGATTTATTTAACAACTGTGGTTAGAAAAGTCAAAAATTGGGGCAAAATGTCTCACTTAACAACCAACATTTTGGGCTCATTTGTGGTCATAAGTTGAGGATTACCTATATTAAAAGTTGGGGGCTGGGTATGGAAAAGCCCACATGACTTTCCATATCAATAATTGCAATAAAGCTCAAAAATATAACATCAAGGACCTCTGACTTAACTACATTAAAACCTATGACACAAAATAAATTCTTATTTCCTACCATATTGAAAACCTTTCCTTCATTTTTCAATAGATTGGAATATTGAGAATCCTTGAGAAAATATAATGCACAGGATGGACACTATAGTGTTCACACAAACCTGAGGTTTGGTATTTTGGATCTTTTTTGTTCCTACAAAGATCAGTGTCAACATTTTTCCCCACATTAAGAATATTTTAATACCAGGTTATCTCCTCAGAGAGGATCCTGCAGAACTGTGGAAAACGACTAGTGTTTATTCATCCTAACCAACTCTTTTACTGTGGGTCCCTGAACAAATGTTACTGTTCAGACTCAACCCTTTTAAGGACACAGTCAACTTCAAATCAAGTGTTGGTGTAAGGGCTACTTCACAATTTCACGGGCTTTTTTGCTCCACAAAGGTCAACTGTGAAACCCTGCAGAAAGTTTTAGCTAGCATCCAGTTACACAATTCGCGAGGAGGAGGAGGAGGAGGAGAAGGAGAAGAAGCAGCAGCAGCAGCAGCAGCAGCGCGGGTGCTTGGCAGCTTCATTTAAAACCGACCCTCAGCGCAGCCCGATGAGGGTTAGAGTGAGTCGGTGGGAAGGACCGGAGACTTGGCCTCATCTCCCCGTCTCGATCGTTAACACCTGTCTTGCAAGAGACAATCCCCTCCCCCTCCCTGAAAACAGCCGGCCGAACAGGTGACGCGGACGACCGCGCGGCGCGCAGCCCCGGCAGAGCGAGCGAAAGATCATCAGCCCCGAAGGGCGCGTGGACGAGCATGCACCGCCTCGCGACGCGCGAGGACAAATCCCCCCCACACACACTCCTCACCCCCCTGCCCCCGCGTCTCCCCGCCCGGGCTAACAATGAGCGCGCGGCGGCCATACCCGCCCTCCCCACTCCTTCCCCGCGAGCGATAAGGCGTGCGCGCGCCCCTCCCAGGGGAGACGCACGCGCGCCCGCGCGCGCCCACCATACCCCGCACCTGAGTTCAAACTCCCGGCGTGCCGGCTCTCCCCCTCTCCCGGGGAACCAAAGCAAACCACCTCCTCTCCTGCTGCTGCTGCTGCTGCCGCCGCCGCCGCCGCCGCTGCGGTTCCCACCGCTACGGTCCCCACCGCCGCCCTGGAAGCGGAAACGTCGGAACCCGGTACACACTCTGCGGGGTTTCCGGTGGCTTTGCGCACGCGCGCGCCTGGCGACTTCCTGGTAGGTCTGCGAAGGATTTCCCCCCCCCCCCCCCCTCCCGTCCCCTTCCTCCTCTCGCTCCTGCCCCCACTTTGGTAAGGAGAGAAGAGGTGCGAGGAGGCGTCGCGGAGGTTCGGTTGTTAGGAGTTGTAGTCCCACCTGATTAGGGACAAGTGTCTCCCCCTCCCCCGCCCGCAAAAAAGGTTTTGACTAAGAAACTGCTTTTTTTTCCTTTGCGGTATTATCGCAGCCTAGACCAGGGATTCCCAGACCTTTTTTTGGGGGGGGGGGGGTATTTCTTGGTTTTACAAATATTCCTCCTTGCACGTTGCATTCTCTTTTCTGTATTTTTTTTTCTTTTCTGGGTTTTATTTGTAGGATCTTTATTCGTTTGTTTTTTTTAAGAAAAGCAATTCAACAGTGGTATTATTTGGAAAACGAAATACAGCATTCCCTCCTAATTCTCATTCAAGGCAACCTTCCCTTTTAACAAAATGCTCAAATTAAAAAGACACAAAAGCACGTATGCATTTCCTGTAGTTCTTTTTTTTATTATTAAATATCAAAAGATCCTTATTTCACAGTCAATGATAACGTTCTAGAAAGGTATGCGATGGGGGTCTGCCACCATCTGGCATCCTGTGGCTCAGTACTGCCCCAATGGGATCACAGGCTAGTAGTGTTACTGGTAGGGTTTTGTTGAAATGAGCTAGGACATAGTCTGAGGATAGCAATGATTTTACCACCTTGAAGCTTTGTCTTGAGTGCTCGACCAGACCCAGGGTCCTTTTTTGTCCACTAGGCGGTGTAGCGGTTCTGCCAGGGCAGCCTTATGCACTAAGAAGGCATGCTAAAAATTGAGCAAGCCCAGGAATGCTTGAATCTCTTTCTCTCTCCCCACTCCACCCCCCCCCCCGATTCTGGTATGGGGGCTTGCTGAATTGCCTTTTGTTTTGCTTCAGATGGGTGGATTCCGGCAGCGTTGATGCAGAAACCCAGGAATTCTATGAATTCCATGCCGATCTGGCACTTTCCCTCTTGAGTTTTAGGCCTGCCTCACAGAAACATTGGAGTACTGCATGGAGACGTTCCACCAGGACTTCTGTTCCCCCGCGATAAGGACGTTGTCAAAGTACAGGCAGACACTGGGAATGTTCTTCAGTGTTTGTTCCATAATACTTTGGAACAATTCTGGTGCTACGCTTACCCCAAACTGCAAGTGGCGCACTCTGAATGTACCTCTGTGTGTGACTGTTTGTGCTTTTGCGGTAGCATCATCTACCGGTAGCTGCTTGTAGGCCTGGGCGAGGTCTAGCTTAGCAAAGTTTCAGCCTCCCTGGAGCAAGGCGAGGATGTGACTTACCATTGGTACAGGGTAAGTATGCTGCTGTAGTGCCTTGCTTATGGTGCACTTGTAGTCTGTGCAGATGTGAATGTCCCCATTAGCCTTAATTGGGGTCACTATGGGAGTCTCCCACTGGCTACGGTCTACAGGTTGGAGCACTCCCTGCTGCACCAGCTTGTGTAGCTCCACATCAATTTTAGGCTTCAATGCAAAGGGAACCCTGTGCAGTTTTAATCGGATTGGAGTTACTGCTGGATCGAGGTTGAGTGAAATGGGTGCCCCTTTGTATTGTCCCAGCTCAGTGCTGAATACATCAGCATATTGTTGGCATACCACTGCTAGATCGGCTATTTGAATTTGATGGATTCCTGTCACCCCGATGCCCAGGGCCTTGAACCAGTCCAGACCCATGAGGCTGGTTAGTGGCCCCTCCATGATCCTTGAACTCTCAATTGTACTCTAATGGTAGCTTTGCCCTTTACAGGAACACTGTGATTCTGGAAGTCCGTTAGCACTAAGCTTGATGATTTGAGGGGGACCCACCATCAGCTACATTTGCAAATGTGGTCGAAAGTCATGGAGGAGACAATGGACAGGGTCGATCCCATATCTAGCTCCATGGAGCATGGGACCCTTTGCAGTTTTAGTTGGAGTCTTATTTTTTCTGTGATGTGGCATTTGGCCCCTGTGTGTTGGATGCTATGCCTTTCTGAGCAATACTCAATTCTATTTTGTCCTGGGGGCCATTTCACCTTGTGCTGCTGTGTTGCAGGTTTCGTTTCCCGCTGTCGACCTCTGCAAACTGGCAAACTCTTGCTTTCCACAGGCATGGCGTACTGCTATGCGGAATCTGCACCCTGCTCTTTCATGCAGTCCCCATAGCTTGCACAGCTATGTGGGGGTGTTGCTTGCTCTGTGGAGCGTGGCCATCTGGGTGTGTCTATTTCTTTGCTCTCACTGACCTCTCCCAAGCCTTCTGCGGTCTCTTGGTGGATCGTTGGGTGGTTGGTGTGGTTTTTGGTAGCCAGAGAGTCTTTATGGCCCCTCCAGCAGCCTTGTCCACCATGACTTCCTTCAATGCATCTTGGAAGGTCAGTTTCTCCATGGCAAATAGGCGCTGCTATAATTCACTGTTATGCAGGCTGCAAATGAGACTGTCTCTGACACGGTCTTCCAGATCAGGGAACTCACATTGGGGCAAAGCTTGGCGAAGGGCTGCCATAAACTCTGCTGCAGATTCCCTGAACCTCTCCTCATGTTACTCGAATGCATGGCGCTGGGCGATGACCAAGAGTTTCGGCTCAAAATGCTCCCTTATTTTTTTCTTGAGGTCTGCATAGGCCACAGTCTCTACGCTTGCCGGTGCTATCAAGTTTTCAGAGATATCAAACATGACTTGTCTGCAGACACATAGGGTTGCCGCCTTCAGGCCGCCATCCATGACCTGGTTAGCCCGGAGATGGTTGTCTACTTGGGAGATGTATGAGCTCCACTGTTCTGGGTGAGTAATATTGAACTCGTTGAGTCTTCCCAGTTTAGTCGTTTTGAGAAGGCCCCTATGGTTCCGGTTAATGCCTGTACTGCTGTGGTTGGAACTGGACTAACTTAGGAATCCTGGGGATAGATCCCTCAGGTACATCAGTGCCTCCAGTATATCTTACTGGCAGGCAGGGCAGGGAGTGTGGTCCCACTAGGGCTCTTTACCCAGTCTGACACCCAGTGTTTTCCATAGAGCTGTCTCGAGTGTCCAGGTTGGGAGGAGCTCCAGTCTCGGCTCTCACAGGCTGAGCTTGAGATTGAGGCACGCCTCTCACCATCACGTGGTCCTCCGGGCGCGCCCCAGTTTTTTGCTCAGCCTCGTGGCAGTCAGGCTGGTTTTCTTTTTGCTCCTGGTCGTTCTAGCACCTCGTGTTTTCTTTTTTTTTTGATCAACTTGGACTCTCAGACAGCGCAGGAAACTGAGGTTTGAGCTCCCTAGGGAGCCTTTTTCTTCTAAGGGGAATTGTTTCACTATCCTTTTAAGGGAGAATCCAGCGCTTCGAGCGCTGCCCCCCCCCCTCCGATTGCTGCCTTTTCGCTCTGTGCGAAGCTGCATCGTTTCTTTCCTGCCTGGTTTTGTTCTTTGGCCGTTTCCCCCCCACGAACGCCCTCTAACCCAGGGAGATGCTTCCCTGCCTCTCCCAGGTACTTCTTTGTGGCCTCCGGGCCTTTTTAACTTCTCCTGGGTGATAGCCGCCGCTGGGGATTGCCTCGTCATTGCGCCCTCCATTTTGGGCTCCCTGTGGTGTCAGCCATCTTGGGAGTGGCAGGAGTCGCCGCCATCTTGTGTGTGGCCGCATGGCCGGGCGCCATTTTTCAGAGGCCTATAACAGGGTTTTTCTTAATGTTTTATAGGCAGACTCCGGACTGCCTATATCCTTGCCTGTTTGCGCTTAGTTTCTATCAGGCTAACCAGGGTTAGTTGGCTCTGTAGCCCTTCCCCCAGCAGGCGAGTTAGCAGCTCTGCCATCCCCCTTCCCCGGTCCGTCCGGCAGGGGTAGCTGCCTGGCGTTCAACTTTTGGCTAATTGGCTTCTGGGCTAGGCCCTGCTGTGCAACAGCCTCCTATTTTAAATACAAAAAAAAATTTTTTTGATCAAAAGGGGGGTGCGAAACGTGCGCTAGGATCCCCGGCCTCTACGTAGGCCGCATCCAAATGTGCAACTGTCCGAGGACCCGTGATGGCACTTTACTTTAAAATTTTTGGTTGGTAGCCCCAGGGACGCCTGCCACTGCTCGAGGCCTACCTGCAGGCCGCATTGTGTTTGATTCCTGGGCAGATCCTTGGAATGTCCAAATCCCTGCTGGTACCTTGCAATCCTGCCTTGGTACTCCTCTAGATATAGGAGTCTACTGGCTACACAGTCTCTCCCCAGCAAGGGAGGTAGCAGCTCCGCCATCCCCCTTCCCCGGTCCGCCCGGCAGGGGCGGTTTTTTGGCGTCCATCTTTGGCAATTGGCTTCTGGGCTAGGCCCTACTTCTCAACAACGTGCAAAGCACCTCTGTTGCCCTTGACCTAGGGGGGTGCGAAACGAGTACTGGGTTTCCCGGCCCCTGCTTAGGCTGTGTCCAGCCTTGTTAATCACCTCACGTTAATCAAGAACTTTTCCTCCTTTCTCCTCTCCAGATGGCAGACGACAATGCATCTCGTGGCACTTCCCTGAAGGCCAAGGCTAAGTCTCACCACCTGCGCAAACAAGCACAGGAAACATCCAAAGCCTCTCAAAGGGATGCCCTTAGGCGACACAGGGCCCTTGAAAAGGAGATTGACAGACGCTCTAAGGAGTCAAGCTCTGTGCCTCTGGACCCTTCCAATCCCACTCCCTCTACCTCCACCCATCCTCCCTCCTCCCCTGCTTCTGCCTCTTCATCGCAGCCTGGACAGGCCCCTGAGGCCACCTTCCCCCCCGCGGCTGCAGGTCTGCGCCCGGAGGAGCCTCACCCACCCCCCACGGTGGAAATCCCCGAAAATCTCAAACGAGCGATGGAGCTGGCCATCCGGCACGGGATAGCACAACAGTTTCAGCAGCTGACCGGTCTGGCCCCTAGGCCTGAGGCCCCTGAGGCTCGAGGATCAGC